TTGTGCTCCTTTCTCTATGTCCTGTTATTGTCTAAGCATATGGAGGAAGTGTGAGTACATATGCCCTGTCTTTAGTTTCTGCCTCTTCTGCAGAGAAGTCTGTGGGAGTGGTATAGGGAAGGTGTAGACACTCAAATTTAGATTACTGGTCTGCAGTAGTTACTCAGGTAAGCATATATGCTTAATTTGGTGGAATTGTTCGCGGGAGTGGTGGATTTTCAGGATCCAGTTTGTGGATGGGATTTAGCAAACCTGCTAAGGTTATGAGGGGAGTAACTTCTTTAAGCAGAAGAATCTGTTTGCAGATTATTGGGCTAGGTAAAGCTCTCCATTTCTGCAGCAGGAAAGAACAGATAAGAGCTCCTCCTTTCCTGTGCCTCTGTTAAGTAATAAGACCTCAGTACTGGTTATTAAGATAACCCTTGCTGAATTGTCACTGTTCCATTCATATGCTGGCAGCAGAAAACTATTCTGGCTTCTAGCAGTCCCATCCAGCACTCTCAAGCTGGCTGACTTCTGCTTTACAGATCTCCCAAGAAAAGAAAATCTTGTTCTGACCTTGCTGCTTATGTGTCCTCCAGCAGAGGACTGCAGAGTAGAGTTTTTCCTGTAGTCATTTCCAGTTCCTTTAAGGCTCCTTTTAATGTCTGACACCACCACACAAAAGAGTACTAGCATAACCAAGCTAAACTTGGTGTCAGCCTTTCCAGCAGGACTGAAGACTGGGTGAAGTAAGCTAGTATAGCACCATGCAGAATGCTGTCTGTTGACTAGTTTGGCTGCTCTTGTCTGTTAGCTGTGGTCATTACTTCCTGTGCTGTGTGGAGCAGCAGAGTCACACCTGCATTCCTATGCACAGGATGATAGAGAACAGTTGGCACCAAACCAGGGCTCATTCTGACACCTCTAACAACAAAAGGTCAGGCTTGTTTTGTCTGATGTCTGCTAGTTGAAGAAGGCACAATCAGCTTCTGGTAGTAAACTTGTTTTTCTGTTCACTCTCCACAGGTACGTAGAGTTCAACTTGGTTTATGACAGAGGTACAAAGTTTGGCCTCCTGACACCAGGATCAAGAATTGAAAGCATTCTTATGTCTCTGCCACTGACTGCAAGGTAAGGGCATACTTATGTGGAGTTGTAGGTAGGCACTGTTCTGACTAAAATACTTGACAGGATTAAAGCAAAGTTATGTCATAGTGTCCAGTCTCTTAACAGTTCATGCCTGATACAAGAACTGGCCAAATACATGCAGATGCTTCTCTGGTCTGCTATGCTCACCCAGTTGCAAGTAATGTGTGACCTAGATATTACCTCACACACAAAAAAAAAAAAGTATTTTTTGTGCTTAGTACCTCCCCATAGATGTCCCCTCCTCACTCCAAGGGTTTTTGTTAGTAGCTCTTTGAAACCCTGTGTGCTTCTGGCAGCCCTGACAAGCCTGTGACAAGGAGTTCCATAGTTTAACTGTGTGTTGTATGAAAAAGTGTCTGTTTTCTACCTGCAGCTGATGACTTCATTTCACTTTTCAGTAAGTAACCAGATTTTCTTCCTGTTCATTTTCTCCGTAACAGTTATTTTACAGGCTTCTGGGTTTTGGTTTTTTTTCATTGTCTGTTTTCTCGGCTGACAAGTCCCATTCTTTTTAGTCTTTGTACAGTAGCTGTTCCATACTTTTGACCACATTTGCCACTTTGCCTAGGCTTAAGTTTTCTATGCCCTTTCTGAACTGTGGATAAGGAACAGACAACATAAGCCAGATCTATGTATCTAAGATGCAGGTGTGCTGCTGACTCATACAGTAGCATAATAATGTTTTAGTTCATTATTCCTTTCATAACCCTAATATGCTGTTTGCTTATTTTGATTGCTGCTAAACACTGAGCTGCCCTTTTCATATGATGGACTGTTATGATGCCAAGATCTTTTCTGGGTAATAAAAGTCAACTGAGTCTCTCAATATGTATGTAACTTTTTCCTGTGTGCATCACTTCAGATTAATCAACAGTGAATTTCACCTAGCAGTTTATTGCTTAGTTTCTTGGCTTGATATGAACACTTTTCAACTGCCTTTTTAGTTTTTAACCTATCTTTCTTAATCTTGCAGTATCAGCATATCCTGTCATTTACAGTACACTCCCCTTTTTAGGTTGCTTTTGGATACGCTACTAGCATATCTAGCACAGCCTCTATCATGAATTCCATAAACTTTGTTAGTACTTCCCTCTGCCAGGAACACTGACCTGCTATTCCTTGACCATGAAGGCAGTCCTGTTCTCACCATATAGCTTCACCCTGCTGCCAACACTAAATGTGTCCCTTCCCTGGTGGTATAGCACAGTCCTATCTTTTGGTTCCATTGTTGGGATAATCTGGTTTTGATTGTTTTCATCAATGTAAACAGCTGCTTCACAGCATGAATGAGACCTTCGGGGGGGGGGAAGGTTGTACCCATTCATCACTTCGTGACTGCTGACACTTCTCCTCTGTCAGGCCTCTCGGAATTGCCTTTTCAATAAAAAGCTGTCTCTTATCATCTTTGTTTTTAAAACCAAGGTTTAACAAGGACTTGTAGGGCTTCCAGTGTAGCTTCTGGAAAAACTAGGTCTCGTGTCCTCACTGTCGAAACTGCCTGGGTTCCTTTTTTCCTTGTCTTCCTTGTCATACTAGTGTGTCACAAGAGACTGCTAAAATACCTTTGCAAATAAACCTTCATGAATTGTGGGGTAGGGGGCACTGCTTTTCACTTTGTTGTTCCAGCCTTTCCAAAAGCTGGGAAAAAGATGAAGCTAACATTTCTCCTCTCTATTCCAGTATTATTTGGTTTTACGGAACTTAATGATTTGTAGCCGTATCTGTCACCTGATGCAAAGAGCATCAACTGTGTATGTAGCTTCGCATCCTCAGAAAAAGCAGCTCAAGTCCCAGCACAGCTTGGTGCCAGACAGGTGCCAGCTAGCTGAGCAGTCCGAGTTTCCCCTCTTCCCGCAGGTGGGAATACATGCACACCCCGCCAGAGAGCTCGAAAGAAGCAGAAATCCTGGAAGTTCTGCGCAATCCCAAAGATTGGGTGCACTGACATGGATCATGAACAAGATGCAATGCTTACACTGAGCCAGTATGAAAGAAAAGGAATGCCTGCACATCAGCACGTTCAAACTGCTGTTGACTGGCGTTTTAGTACAGCTATTTATACTCTTACCCAGTGCCTTAATAATGATGTAAAATCGCTGTAATTTACAAATATGTGAACTTGTTTGTAAAGATTGATCATCTCATGTTATCACCTCATGTTGATGTTGTCTTCTGAAGGACCTGTGGTGCCCTCACAGGACTCTCTGCATGCTTAAGAACTTCATCAGCTGAGTTGTTTGACTGCAAAATGGTAAATTTTCCACTGGAACGAAAGCATTAAGTGTGCCTAAATAGCACTGTTTACTCTTAGAAAATGCTGGGATGTGTTAGCAATATTTTATTTTTTTTAAGAATAAAGGAAATACATGGTATGATTTTAAACCTTAAACTGTGCTTTCAGGAAGTTGTGCAAAAGGGATTCTTATTCATGTATATTTTGATGCTTGGAGGTGAGGGATGATGTTTTAAGACATGCTGCAGCAGCATGACTTGACTGATAAGTAACTGGGAGAGTCTGGGTTAGGGTCCCAGTCTTGCCATATGACTGTGGAAGGCTGGCTGCCTATTTTGGGGAGAAAATCTTTCAGCACTGCTCATTTTGGTATTACCAACTGTCTTAGGCCAGTACCTTTGCCATGAAGGCTGGGAACAGACCAGTAAGCTGTTGGCTATTACCCCAAGGTCTTTCAAATAAAACTTCAAGTTGCTCCAAGCCCCGGGCTGCTTGTTCTTTCTTTGCAGCGCAACCCTCGTCCATGGGGCAAAGCAAGGGACATCCCGTTCTCCCCCGCCTGAGGGAAAAACAAACGCAACCTCCCCGTCGGGGAATCGAACCCCGGTCTCCCGCGTGACAGGCGGGGATACTCACCACTATACTAACGAGGAGTTGGGTATGAATGTGTGACCTTCCTCCTCTCACGTGGTACAATGTCACTTTGGCCAGGTGACTCGTTGGCCTCATGACAGAAGTCAGACTTCGTTTGGGGGGTTACTGTGCTCACTTCTGTGCTACACTTCCTCCGATTAAATGGAAATAAAAGAAAATAATATTTATTATTTAGTAAACCAGTGATGTTCCCGCCCCTCTAAAGGGTGGGGAAAACAACTGGCCCGTACGGGGATCGAACCCGCGACCTTGGCGTTATTAGCACCACGCTCTAACCAACTGAGCTAACCGGCCTGTCTGACCAGCAACTTCCGCGTGCTCGTAGCTCCCGCGCTCCCGCGGGAACGCTGATAGGAATGACTTCCCCTAGTGTAACTGCACCCGCTCTTTTTCAACAGTACACTGACAGGTCGTTCCAGGCACCTCCGCCAGAGCTGTTCGGACATTAACCGGCGTGACGAGAACTGCTAAAATGGGGACCTGTAAAACTCTCGTTTTCTTCTGCGCCCGCCTCCTCCACTCCGCGGCCGGCTCGGTGCAGCTCGGCAGGGCGACACACTAAACACGGACATCAAAAACCCCATCGGAACAACACCGCCATGCTTCCCTCCTCGGCTCCTGGCCGCGAGAACAACCGGCACACCCCCCACCGCTCCCGACCGCCTCCCTTCCTCCTAGTCACGGCACGGGCGGGAGGAAGAGGACATGCACCCCGGGAGGGTAAAAGGCAGCACCACCTCCCCGTCGGGGAATCGAACCCCGGTCTCCCGCGTGACAGGCGGGGATACTAACCACTATACTAACGAGGAGCGGGGTGCGGATAGCGCCCCGCCGGCGAGCCCCAGGAGGCCCCGGTGCCACGGCGCTGCGAGGGGAGGCGTGAAGCCAGGCATTTGTCCGGGTCCCGGCATCGCAGAAGGTGGTTGGGATCCGTCCGAGAAAGCCACTGCTCTGTCCCGGCCCGGCGACACGCCATAAAGCAGAGGGAGGAGTGTGGCCATGCCCGGGCTGTCGTGGGCACAGAGATGGTGTGAACCCCAGAGCTGCCTCTGAAACTGCAACAGCCAGTGTGGAGGGAAAAGCAGCACGAAAGGAAGACAGGCTCATCTCCTAAACCTGTAATGAGGCCCGTTTTCTACTGTGGTGAAACCACCTATCCTCAGAGGAAAGTGTGAACCCTTCCCCAGCTGGAAAGCCTGTTACAGCACTTGTAAAACCAAGGCATTAAGTAATGAATGAATAAATAAAATTAATTAACGCAGAAAATAGAATCATAGAATCATAGAATCGTTAGAGTTGGAAAGGACCTTAAGATCATCTAGTTCCAACCCCCCTGCCATGGGAAGGGACACCTTACGCTAAATCATATCACCCAAGGCCTCGTCCAACCTGGTCTTGAACACTGCCAGGGATGGAGCATTCACAACCTCCCTGGGTAACCTATTCCAGTGCCTCACCAACCTAACAGGAAAGAATTTCCTCCTTATATCCAATCTAAACTTCCCCTGTTTAAGTTTTAACCCGTTACCCCTTGTCCTGTCACTAGAGTCTCTAATGAAGAGTCCCTCCCCAGCATCCCTATAGGCCCCCTTCAGATACTGGAAGGCTGCTATGAGGTCTCCACGCAGCCTTCTCTTCTCCAGGCTGAACAGACACAACTTTCTCAGCCTGTCTTCATACAGGAGGTGCTCCAGTCCCCTGATCATCCTCGTGGCCCTTCTCTGGACTTGTTCCAACAATTCCATGTCCTTTTTATGCTGAGGACACCAGAACTGCACACAATACTCCAGGTGAGGTCTCACAAGAGCAGAGGGGCAGGATAACCTCCTTCGACCTGCTGGTCATGCTCCTTTTGATGCAGCCCAGGATATGGTTGGCTTTCTGGGCTGCAAGCGCACACTGCCAGCTCATGTTCATTTTCTCATCAACCAGCACCCCCAAGTCCTTCTCCGCAGGGCTGCTCTGAATCTCTTCTCTGCCCAACCTGTAGCTGTGTCTGGGATTGCTCTGACCCAGGTGTAGGACCTTGCACTTGGCATGGTTAATACTTAAGAATTAAATACCTGTGAAAAAGCTGTAGAGATCATCAAATTCCAAGCCCTTTGCTTCACAAACTGTCAGTATCTGAGTGCTAAGCTAAGCTTAGCTACCTTCCCCTTTGGTGTTTCAGGTGCCATTAACACCACCTATCATAAAATACATTAATAGACATAAAATGTTGGGGGGAGAAGGTAATAGCTGCATGGAGAAAGCATGTAGATGTATCATGATAATGCAAGAGCTTTCTCAAAACCAGGCAACATTTAACACAGATGCACACTCTCCGCAAAAAAAAACAACATAGCAAAACTGCTGCTTGGAGACTGACAAATACATGGTATGAGGAGATGGCCATAGGTCCAGTGTAAGAAAATCTGGAGTTAGAAAGAAACAGGACAGGAGACACCTGACTGGAAAAAAAAGAGCAGAAAGACCCAGATGTGCATAAAGAAACCAAGAAACAAACTCACACACTAAAGGCTTCTAAGTTTAAAAAAAGCATAAATTATCAGTAAGATATAGAGGCTGAAAAAAAATAACTGTGGTCAGGCCACAGAAAGTAATTATTTAGTTGGTGAGATAATCTTTAAGTTTAGAGTCTTAGACTCAAACTGTTCTGTTACAGACTTGGAAGAATCCACAAAAAGCCACATAGCTGAGGAGAGCAAATCTGATGTGCTCCACATTCCATAGGTGGTATCGTTTTTCCTTCTGTGGCTCTGCAGCAGCATTTCTGGGTCACTAATGCTGAGGGTCTCCCAGACTCTAGGGTGTTGTCCATCAAAGAGACCACAGCCCCTAGAAAGCTGGATCAGAAGGTTCTGGGAAGCAGTGCTGAAGCTATACAACCACTCCAGGCGCCAGATGAAGGGTACTCATCATGAACAGAATTTAGGTCTTAAACTCCGGTCTGTCTCAAGCTGTCTTGAAAAACACACCTTTAAAGGGTTTTATCAGGATTTTGAGATCAAGAAACATCATAACAAAAAAACTGTAGTCAGAGAAGACAGAAGCTACTTTATGTTTGCTATTTTGAGTAGTCCTCATCTCACTGTAAACTCATTTCAGAGCAATGACGTAATTACATTCAAAGCACAGAACAGCACAGTTCTACACATTTGCTTCCTTTTGTGCTGATGTTGACAGCCAAAATAGGTTTGAACACTTGGATTCATCACAATGAATTTTGGTGCATATTCTGGCAGTTCCTGACTCCAAATGCAACAGTAAAAAGTACTGAAAAAAAAGTGAAAGCGCATTGTTCCAGTAATATCAGCTGTAGAAACAGTGAAGTGAAAGGAAGGGAAGAGAGCAAAAACTGTATGTTAACTACAAACATGTTTGGTTGTTTGGGCTTCTTTTCCACAAAAATTGTGTGAAGGGCAAAAATGGAAAGCCACACCTTTCAAAGCTGAGAGCAGTTTCAGAAATCCCTAAGCTATGTCCTCCTTCAGTGCATTTGAGCCAAGTTTAGTATCTTTGACCTCTTTCCTTTTCCAGGAAAACCAGTGTAGCCTCACTTTGTAATATCACATGGTCAGAACTACCTGGCCAGGGATGAGGAAGTAAAAGAGCAAGATGAACCTTACTTTTCCCCTCTTACTTAAGGGGGGGAAATCACCTTATAGATAAGTGATCGTTTCTGTATTTTTATCCTTCAACTCAGACAAGAACTCTTCTACCAAATACTTATTTAGGACTTTGCAAACTTTGGAGTCTTAAGGTTGTCCGTAAGTATAATTTTACATTATATTCTACATAAAAGTTTGTGGTTTTTTTTTTTATTATGATTATTTACAGGGAATCTGTCTTTTCAGACAAATGTATAGGTTTATAGGATTTTTTTTTGTCAATTACAGTAGTGATTTTTCATTTCCTTTGTGGTAATATAATGTAGAAAACTTAGAAATTTTGTAGCTACTGGTGTGAGTTGTGCCTCTGCCTGTTAATTATTAGCATCAATGCTGGCTGTTCACCAAGGTTTGCTACTGCTCTTTACATGAGGACAAATAATTTAATACACAATCTGTCAGAAATACACTGTAGAATGCCGGGGCTTATCTTGTCACTATCACAACACTTTACAGGATTGCGGACTGAACAGAACCGTATCAGAAATAAATTAATACTTTCTCTACAGGTTATGGTAAGCATAAGTGTTTGCAGGCTATAGACTATATATTATAATTAGATTATATGAGAAGAAAGAAGTTACAGATTTTCAAGCCCGAGAGAAGTATGTTGATCATTAACAAGTTCTGCTTCCTCCACTTCTGTGAGCCCGCTCTTTGTATGAGCTTGCAGCAGTTGCTTTAGAGGACCCTGGAATTTTTTTGTCAGAGTAAGGTAGCCTGAAAGAATGCTGACTACACTGCTGATTTTCTGATGAAGAAACGGTGGAAGATCATTTCAACCATGGACAGGATTCAAGGTCTAAACTGGGGCCAGGGCAAAGCCCAGCACCACCAGAAGTGGACTTGGAGGTAGGGCCAGCCCCCACAGGGTGAGGGGAAAGGGGGATGGTGGTGGGTGGGAGGATACTCAGGAGTTGCAAACTGCTGTGCTACAATCTGCCATCTCAGATATGCGGGATAGACCTGTCTGTAGGTCAGGATGGGCGGCCACCAGAGAGACACAACAGGACGGACAAGCTCAATGAGCTGGGGGACAGCTGCAGGGATCAGACTTTCCGCAGGGCATGAGA